ACCATACAGTGGTGCCTCGCAAGATGAATGTAATTCATTCCGCGAGAAGCGCTGTCTTGCGAAAAAATCATCTTGCAAAAAGTGGCTTCCCACAGGAATGCATTGCAATGCATTCCTATGGGAACCTCGCAAGACCTCGCGAGGCATCGGTCTCAAAAAAATCGTCTTGCAAAGCACAGCCATAGAAGAAGCCGTCTTGCGAGGCACCATAGCGATCGAGACAATTCATCTTGTGGTTTTTTCATCCCGCGAGGCGTTGACAGTTCATCTTGTGGTTTTTTCGTCCCACGAGGCATTCGTCTTGTGAGGCACCACTGTACTTACTAACCTGCAGAGAATTCAAGGACCAGCGCAAGTCAGATGCCACAATGGGGCCATCCCACAGAAAGCAGCCATTTTGCTTGTACTCAAAACCCACCTTACACTCTTTGATATTCTGCAACTATCGCAATATTTGGAACGAACTCAATCCATTTCCCTCCCAGGGCAACTAGACAGAAAACGAGGACATAGCTCCAATACCTTTAATAATTATGTGGAAGGACCTCGCGTGACCAGCTCCATCTGCTGAAAATTTCCCAGCCACCCAAATGTTACCGGTTCAGGAGCCCTTGTCTCTTTTTCACATGGCCATTCTATGCCTGAGGCAGAAAATCCCCTCTCCCTGAAACATAAATATAGCAGCAGGATATTAAATAACTGTGGCTGAAACCCAGTGGCGTAACTCGTTTTTATTTACTTTTTAATAACTTTATTTATATGATAAAGACATATACAAAAACTACAGTTTTACAAAACACTACCATATTATCCACTTTTAACATGCCAGAACACCTCTACTTTACTCTGCGTGAATCCCCCTCCCCCCCTCAGGACTAGTTCCATGTTCTTCATTGTTATACAGTGGTGCCTCGCAAGACGATTTTTAACGTGCCAGAACACCTCTACTTTACTCTGCATGAATCTCCCTCCCCCCTCAGGATTAGTTCCATGTTCTTCATTCTTATACAGTGGTGCCTTGAAAGACGACGTTAATTCGTTCTGTGAAAATCGCTGTCTTGTGAAAACATCGTCTTGTGAAATTTGGTTCCCCACCGGAATGCATCAAAATCTATTTAATGTGTTCCAATGGGGGAAAAATCATCATCATGCGAAAATCACCCATAGGAAAACCATTTTGCGAAGTGCGGACCCAGCTGTCAAAATCACTGTCTTGCAAAAAAAAAAGTCCCTAAAAATACTGTTTTGCGAAGCGCAGATCAAGCTGCCAAAATCGTCGTATTGCGAAAAACCGTCCCCCCCCCAAAAAAACCATTTTGCAAAGCATGGACCGAAACATCGTCTAGCCATCCCCCCCCCAAAAAAAAACCATTTTGCAAAGCATGGACTGAAACATCGTCTAGCAAAAATCATCAATAGGGAAAACCGTTTTGTGAAGCGCTATAGCGATCGCCAAAAAACACTGTCTTGCGAATTAACTGTTTTGCAGGGTAATCGTCTAGCGAGGCACCACTGTATTTCAGATTGCACCATTTCCCTCCAGTAACACATTGATTCTTCTCCTGATATATACATCTTCCCTTTCTGAAATGTATATACCAAAAACAAGTTCCATATTTGTTTAAAATCACTACAGTGGCATAATGTATGCCACATAAGACTGATAATGTCCAGTTGTGGCAGTTTTTCAGAAATTAAATTTTTTTGATCCAACTGCTGAAACTCCCTTGAGAGCTCCTTCATCATAGGGAAGCCATTGGTGGCCACAACCCATGGGGGGGCATGCAAAACCTTTAGTTCAAACAACCGTTGCTGCCAGTAAAAACATCCCACCGATGGCAATTTTCCAAAATTAAAGACTTTCCTTGGTACTGGAGTCTGGCTTAAGACAAAATTATTACAGAGTTTTGAACTTCAGGTAAAATACCTTTTGCTACACAGGAGAAGTACAGAGATTCACAGAAGAGACTAGCTACAAATTCCTCAGAGTCCACCCCTTTCTCATCAACTGGCACTTAAAGTCTCAGTAACTTAGTCTCAGATATTTGTATGAGAAAGGATAAAAACCATTTCTTCACTTAATTACAGATGTGTGTATACTGCTTTCTTTTGGCGCACATACTTAGCAACCAACTGAACAAATCAACAGCAACAAACAACTGCCTCCAACTGGGGAAAATGAGGGAAAGAAGCACTCAGCAGATTGGTGGGGCTGTCCTTGAAATCACTGGTTAAGTGCTGGAAAGGTCCTTAGTCCAATAAAGTCCCTCCCAGTCACTCAAGCTACGCATAGCATGCAAGGTTGCAAAAATAAATCTCCTAACAAAGTCTTCTAAGGATTCTTCACCAAAACACAATTCCTTAACAGCCGCCCACCACACCCAGCTGTCTCCCCCTCATGAGCTAATCTCGTGAGCCTCAGCAATCCCCCATGACAATCCATTTACATCAAGATATAATTTCCTCTCCTTTTTTTAATTTGACAGCCACAGCTTGTGTGTACTAAAAAAGAAAGAAAGAAAGGAATTGTGTAAACATCGCAAGATATGCAAGATAAATAGTCCTCTCGGCCAAAAGGCCTCCGCCCACCTCAGGGCCAAACCACAGGCAACCAGCTGGGGCTGGATGTTGGTTGAGTTTTGCTTGTTTTCTTTTGTTGGCTCTGTTCTGAAAATGAGACAAAACAGGGCTATGGGGTGGTGTGTGTGTGGGGGGGTGCCTGAAGAGACAGCAGAGGGACCCCAACACTTCCCAATACTTGTGTAGCTGCATTTTGACAACTGAGGCAGCAACGTGGGAGGGGTCGGGTAACGGGGAGACCTTTCCGCCTTGTCCATCTGTCCCATTTCTATGGCGAATGGTTGAGGATTAGGGAAGCTGGGGTCCGACATCATCCAGAGGGCCCCATGATTCCTAGCTCTGCTAAAGGGGCTGCCAGGCCTAATTCAGGGCAGAAGCTGGGCAGGCGAAGCCCCTCGTACCACATAAGCAGGAGCCCCTGTGCTGTCATCTGCCACACAGCAGTCAGAAGCACCCAGTCCCTCGAGAAGGACAAGTGCAGCCACTGTTTTTGGTATCTCTGATATGCTCCTAACAGCTTCCTGGCAGTCAGAAATTCAGGGCTGCTTGGAGTGACAGGCCCAAAACCCGTCGGGAATGGCACAGTTGCCCACCTCTGCTCTCAGGAACTGCCTTCCCAGCCTTGGGAGGCTTTTATTGTCCCTTGCACGTACACCACAGCAATGATTCTCCTGGCCTTTTCGGGAAGCCCTCCTAGGGCTGATTCCCACCCTCCCGGATCACTTCAACCAAGTGTCAGCCCTGCTGGGGGTTTCCACTTGGGCTTCCTCTTTGTGCGCCCACCATACTGCTCAATCTGGAACAGGAGGGGAACCTCACTTGTGGTCACCCACAGCACAGGGTTGCACAACCGAGTTATGATCAGCTTCACAAAGGCCTGCAGAGCAAAAGCCAGGCTTGCCCTATCCAATCAGGTAGGATGGCCGGATAGTTCAGTCGGTGGAAAAGGCTGCTGTTTTTGTTTGCTTGGAATTACAAAAACATGATGAGGGACTCCGTACTGTATGTTCAATACAGGAAAATGAACGTTATTTTGGTTGTTGTGGGTTTTTCAGGCTCTTTGGCCATGTTCTGAAGGTTGTTTTTCCTAATGTTTTGCCAGTCTCTGTGGCCTGGGGCGT